TATATCTATTGATTATTAAATATCTAATTAATCATATTATTTTAATGATTCTAAATGATTTTCTATCTCTTTCTAAAATATTAAATCTTTATTTTTTAAACTTATTATTGTTTAATTTTATATCACTTTTTCTTTTTAAATTATTTATTTTAAATCTTTTAATAATTATTCATTATCTAAAGATTATATTGATATCTTTTTTATTTAATTTGATTCTTTAGTTATATATTATTATTATTATTATTATTATTATTATTATTATTATTATTATTATTATTATTATTATTCTAATATTAATTTATCACTAATTTCATTTAATTTTTAATTATAATTTTTTCTCATTTAAGCAATTTAAGTAAGTAAATCACATCTTTTAGTTTTACTTTCCTTTTTATATTGTTATAATATTTTGTAAGATTCTGAATTGTAATCTATCCATTATTTATTTATATTTTCAATTGTTTAATATTTAATTTATGGATTTTCAGATATACAATCAACACAAACAAATCTATCTTCAATTTTCTTAGACTAAGAATCCATATCAATCATAATAATTTCTTTTTTATGATTCACACAAATTTTATTTAAGCTTGGTGTTTTCTATTAAATTAATTATATAAATTATTAATTACATATTCATTTTTTGTCTATAATAATGGTGGTAATTCAATAATATTATTTTCCATTAGATCTTAAATAATTTGTTTTGTATTCTTAAATGTATCTAATGTCTAAAAATATTCAGCATTATTAAATAATAATTCAAATTATTTTGTTAATTCATCCACAAAATGATTATCTTCAATTAATTTATTTGATTTCTATTAATCGTTAGAATATAATTCTGACAATTATTTGATATCTTCAAAATAATTTAATTGATATTAATTTTCTTGTAATTCTTATTTTTCTTTTTAAATTGGAAACATATATTATTATATATACTTATGAATCTTTTCTAAAGAATCATCCATAGACCTTTTAAAATCCATTATTTAATCTAAAATATTTTTATAGTAGCTGAGTCTTGCTTAATTCTCTTTAGTCTGTATTTCTTTTTATTAAGTCTTTATTTATTAGATTCTTTCCTTTGACTACTCAATGGTTGTCACTTTATTATTATTTAATTTATCAACTAAACACTTACCACAAAAGAACTTAATTTATGATTTATCTGACATGTCTAAGTCAACTGCAATGAATTCCAGGTTGTGAGCTTTACAGATCGTCTCTTAGGGTTCTTAACTTGATTTTTATTGTAAAATATTCATATTTTTTATTTTATTAATAAACTTTAAATAAGATATTTTCTAATAAATATTAATTTATATAATATACTATAAAATTCAATATTTTTTATAGATAAAAACAATTGAAATTATTATTTTAAATCCTATTAGCTAAATTCCAATATATTTGATAAAACTAATTTTCACATATTGAATCCAGATCTCAATCGGGTGAATTGCAGAAATTGGATCTTACTATAAGTTAACACATGTAATAAATAAATTGATTATATAATTAACAATTAGAAGAAATTTTAAGCAATTCATCTCTGCTATTTCATATTGTGAAATTGAACAAACTAGCGAA